TTATTGAATAAATTTTTAATACTAATGCAGAATCCATTGTCACTGACACCATGAGTTTGGCCATTAGGAAAAAAAAGCTGACGAAAGGAAACTGAAGCTCCAGGATTCCTAAATGAAGGCCTGTGGAGCAGAGCTTCCTGGAGAATGGATTGGCAGCTGTTTCTCTTTTATGTCTGTTTAATCAAGGCTTTGTTGCCTAGAGGAAGGGAGGGGAGTTCCCACATAGTAGGTACTCAGTAAATGTTTGTACAGGGAGTGAATGAATGCATGAATAAATAAATGAATTTAAGAATAATTAAACCAGGAGAGATTTTTTTTAAAGATCTAAGCTCCTTTCTATTTTAACCATTAACAAATACTTACAGAGCATTCAGCGTGGTACTGAAGTGTCCGTGATGGATAAGACAGTAATCCCTTCCCTCTCAGTCTGACAGATCATCCTAATACACATTTAAATATAATTATGATAAAATGTGGTAATCCAAGGTGGCACGGAAGCCCATGTAAAAGGGTGACCCTGGCTGGAGAAGTCAGAGAAGGCTTTGCTGAGGAAATAATGCTAGGTCTCAGAGGCCGAATTTTCCTGATGTAGAAATGAGGAAAGAGTAAGACGGCATATTTGGGGACACAGGCAAAGACAACATGACACATAGGCGGCACATTCGAGATCATCCAGAATTTGCTTGGGGCATGAGGAAGCGAGGCTGGAAAGGCAGATGGGAGCAAGAAGGTGAGGACTTCGTGAGCCACGGTTAGAAGCTTGGTTTTCATTCTACGGACAAATCCACCAGCAGGGGTTAAAGCAAGGGACTGACGAGTCAGATTTTTCTTTCAGGCCAGCATGTCAACTTACATTCTACTAAATAACCTCAGCAGCATGCTGGCTAAGCTTCGCCGAAGTTGCAGCAATACAGGGGAAGAAAGGGCAGAATTAAGTTATTTCATAGCTAGAAGCTGAAACAGACCCCAACTCTAGGTAAAGGGTAAGCAAAGTGAAAGAAAGAGCCAGAGATGCCCTACTGTTTTGGCTATGCTGGTTTTAAGGAAGGAGGGTTAAGCTGATTGCATGTGGTGGGGTGGAGAACAATGGTGGCAGAGATAAAGAAAAGTCTTAGGACAATAAATTTGAAGTGCCAATGGGCCACATGGGTAAATGTCCAGCAAACAATTAGATATACTAATCCAGAGATCTGTAAAAAATAGGGATTGAGGTATAGATGGGGAGTAATTCATACAAGGTAGTCACTTCAGGCATTTGTTCAGAATATACTACGCCCAGCACTTAGCTAAATAAACCTTATGCTATGGAGAGCCATTAAAAATGATTTCCAATAGAATTTTTTAAAATAAAATATAATTAAACATGGGGAGAGTCTACTATCTCTATTTAGGGCAAGGACATGAACACAATGAGAAAGTAAAGCAGTGGAATGAACAAAAGAGACCTTGGGGATTCTCTCTAGTCTTGAACTCAACCCAAAACTAATGCATTGATCAATCAATATTACAAAGTACCAACTCCAAACCTTAAGGAATCCAGAGACACAAAAGTGACATCATGTAACCCCTCTTAGCCTCAACATCCCTCAGAAGCTTTGAGCCCCAACCTTAACCCTCTGTCCTGCCCTCTCCAAAATCTTCTCTAGCCACTGCAGACTGAAGAGTTTCTACTCCTCTGGACACCTTTAACCTTGCCAAGCTCTCGCCCACACGTGGCCTGGGAATTTTTAACTTGTCCTGCTCACCCAGATATTCCCACACACTACCCCTATGCAGCTTGCACTCCTGGAAGGCCACAGCCCATCCCCACCCCACTCACAAACTCCAGCAAGGCTCAGCACAGGATTAAGCACATAGCATTTTGCTCTGCTCATTTCTGGTTCCTTGGGAGCCTCCACTCCACCACTGCTGCCCTACCTCCAGCGTGCTCAGCTTGGCTAATACAAAGATGAGTACATGTTAGGTGCTCAGTGAAGACCCAGGTATAATGGCCCATTTGACCTATGTCCTAACACTTCCTTTTTCAAGTTCATAACAGCCCTGGGATTCAGAAAGTCTCAAACATCCCTCCATCACCAGCAGCAATCTGAGCCCTTGGCTCATGAAGCCTTGCCAGCTGGAGAGAGGAGGGGTCAGTGAAATGGGTTAGATCCAGGGTCCCTCTGCCTACCCTCCCAGAGGCCTTCCTGGAAATATTTTGGAATCCCTAAGAACAGATACCTGAAGCCTTTAAGTCACAGTCTCTGTGCTCAGGAAGGTGTAAACGAGAGCTATAGCATCCAAGACAGGAGGTGGCCACATCCACCTGAAGTTGAGAGGCCTCTGGGCTAGCAGACTATGAAGTGAGTTCTGCAGGAGTGAGCAAAGCAGGGACACGAAGAAGGATGTAGAGTGGTAAGAAGTGAACCACACCAGGAAGCCATCTCTGTCCTTCCAGGCAAAACCCACCACTCCCTTTATCTTCTCACACATTTTCTAGCCCTCGGCTTGTTTTCCTGGCTGCTTCCTAGATATAAGTTCCTTGAGGCTAAGAACCTGAATTTTTCACCTTTTCATTTTCCATAATGCCTAGCAAAAGGCATGGCACATGGTAAATGCTCAGCAAATTGTTGAATAAACAAATAGATGAACCCTACTTTTGAAGAAACCATAACTGAATGATTTTTAAATTGTGTCTGCTCTTTGGGTCAGTGTCTTTCAGGAGACACCAATAATCCATTAATAACATTTGGATTTTAGGAAAAATCTCTTTAAAGGAAAATGTACCTTGTAAATATTCTGTGTTCTCAGGGAAAAGAAAGTCAGTGGGGGAAAACTGCAAACAGCCTACTCCAGAAGAATTGAGCTGAGGCCAGGAAATTAAAATTAGAATGAATTTAGCATTGGTGTTGTTATAACCAATTATCAGAAAGTTTCTTTTTACAAATTTTTTATGAGATGGAGGGAGGAAGGAGTGGTAGGCTTCTTTGAAATTATACCAGCCAATGAATGGCAGGATTAGAATATTCCTTTTTTAGCTAGTGGATACAGTAACGTCATCCTAGAGAGACAGGGAGACCATGTCATGTTTGATGTCTAAATCTAATGACTTTTTAAATAATAGTGACAACAATATAAACAATAAAATATGTAATGTTCTTAAAGATTACATTATCTAATTTGACTTACACACAATCCTGCAAGTACCACTACTATTGTCCCTTCCTAAAGATGACAAGTTGAAGGTCCATAAATTAACCAGTATTAGATCTGGGACTCACACATGTGCCTTTGGACTTTGATCCTGTGATCTTTTTCTCTGTGATAACTTTCTGATAGAAAATTCCCTGGAGGTCTAGGAAATGGCAAACGTTCTTATTGCTAGATAAGAGCTTAGAGGACTGAAGTCCCAGCTCACACAGAAAAGCAGAGTTATGGAGGCACTTGGGTCTCATCTATCCACTTGGGATTTGAATCCCATAACTAGCACCCTGAAACACCTGCCTTTTCCCAGGTATGGACTCATGGTGAAGCTGGCCCTGCTTAGAAGCCACAGAGGGGTTCAGTCTGGAACGGGGCTCCCTGATGGAGCCATCAGAGGGTGGTTCATAGTTGGGACTCGAGTATCAGAGAGGGAACCTCACTTCCGAAAGTATGAAACCTACAAGGAGCAATGCCAATAGATTATCCCTGGATCACATCTGCAGCTCTGGGACCCTCAGCTCTCCTCGCCTGCCGCCGCACCGGCTTCCTCGCTGTAAAGTGGGGAAGGAAAACTGTCACAGCACAGGCTTGTTGTGAGCCCATGCTGGAACAAAGAAGCATGAACAAGCACTTGTTAGTGCAAGTCACGCTGTCCTGGGAAGACAAGTCTGAAGACTGCCACACCCCTGCCTCCTTGCTCCTTACAGCTGACCTTGAACCCCAGTGACAGCATGGGAGGGGAGGCAAAGATCAGGGACTCAGGATGGCCTCCAGCCTCACATCAAACTTCCATCCTTGCTCTGTTCAACCTGCAAGTGGTTCCTAAGCAGGAAGCAGATCCGTCTGCTTGTGCTGCTTGCATTTATGTTGTTTCACTTCTAATTAGGCCCATCCTGCCCTATTACAGACAATGGAAGTGTGCTTTAAATGAAAGCCCATCTCCTTTCCCCTGACTATACTAAGCTCTTCGTTTCTCTTTGCCTCCTCTGCATTTAGTAACTTAAGTCTGCTTGGAGCTAAATGACCCAGTTAATACAGCCTAGATGGCTGACTGTCCTGTGCTCACTTAGGAGTGGCCCTCACAACGCAGAAGCTATTACACATTGCATCATTTTTTATTCTGTTTGTAGTTTACATCTCTAGACTGGGAACCCAAGAGGCTGGTGGATCTGGGTCCCCAAGGGAAGCCAGCATCACCTGAAGTATGACCTCACTTGTCAAACGATCCTCCTCCCCACAGGCTGGGATGGATGAGCAAGAGGTTTATCTTGTTTATTAAAGGAGCAATACTTTATCTTGTGGAAAAACACACTAAAATATTTATAGGTGAAATTACTTGATTTATGGGATTTCCTTCAAAATAATAGGAAAGGAAGGAAGTGTGCAGAGGGCATTGGTGTGTGGATGGGGCAGGTTTGTCTTAGGTAAATCACCATCGAGACTGGGTGATGAGAACAAAAGTGTTCAGTAAAAGATTCTGTCTACCTGTGTATCTGCTAGCAATTTCCCACAAGAAAAGACCACTTTTTAAACAGCAAGGTTTAAATCTGAAAAGCTGGAGTAAATAGTTCTTTAAAAGCACATTTTTAATTAAATAAAAGTTCAAGATGTGCTTGGTGTCACTCTCTATTTTGCACGGTTCTATATTCATTGTTTAACTTGGTTTTTACTTCCAGTCTTAATCAGAGTGCTTTCTTCTAATTTATCCTACATCTTTATTTCAAAAACAGTCCCTCCAGAGCAGCCCCCAAATTGCAAGCCAGATTCACACCCAAAGCTGTTTTCGCAGCTTGTCTGCAGCCTTTGTCTAGCCTCACCATGAGCAGATTGTTTTCCTCAAAGGCCAATTTAGATCACGAGTGACCCCATCATTTTCTCTAGTTCATTTTCACCGGGTTGTCCTGCACCTCCCTGTCAGGAAAAAGCAGAAAAAGAGAAAAGCAGTGATCACAGTCAGGCCTGTGACTTTAGTCTCCTCTGGAAAAGGTTCTAATTGACTGGAAAAACAAAAGAATCTTCTTCTCCACTGACCCACACCTGTATATAAACTGCTGTTTGGACCCTGGGGCCATTTCTCTGGTACTTCTGTTTACCAGCCCACAATATTCCCAAATTATAGGACTACATCTAAGAGAAAGGAGCATCCTCACAAGCCACATATGGCAAATATGATTCTATTAAATCAGACAAGGCCTCGCCACCTCTCTGCCTTTTTCTCTCTAAACCTAGCTAACTGCTTAATCCCATTCCATCTCTACTCACATCTATGGTTTTTATATCTTCCTATTCTGACTCTAGCACTTTCCATCCATGAGAGTGTCACCTTTCAGATAGCCCATGCCTTTCCAACAAGAATAATCTTTCTAAAACCAATTTGTATACAAATTAGCTGAAACTTTGGCCAGGGAAATGCATGCATGTGTAGGCATACAAACTGCATTGCCTTGGAAGACTGTGCCTAGTTTCCACCCACTCACACTCAGTACCAGCACTGATAACCTTCAGCCCAGCCACTTGGAGCCCCATGCCTGAGGCCACCCTGAGCATCGTGAGCTGGGCACAAGTCAGGTGCAGCTACCGTGAAAACAGTCTTCGCTTCTTTGCCCTCTTTCTTCATGTCTCACTGAAGACAACGATAGACTCTCAGAGGTGTTTAATGGGGGAAATCACCCACCCTGTGCCCAGGGTGCTCCAAACAAGGCAAAGCAAGGGTGGAGAAGGAATATTTTTGGAACAGAGAAAGCAAGACACAGAGCGCTGCACCCCTCCAGAAATAGTTTCTGCCCTGATAGATCTCTTTTCCTTCTTCTCCCTTGCAAGGTGCCTATTACCTGGTTAGTTGATCAAAGTATCAAGTGGAGAAGCCAGAAATAATTGACAGAAATATGGGGAACCCCTGGCCTTTATTACATCCTCATCCAGGAAAGAAAAACCTCCTGCCCACAGCAGCACCTGAGTGGATCATGGTCAGTACGACGATGTGGGAGGATATTCACACACGCTGATTTTCTGAGCAGGAAACAGCTTCCTGATATTTCTTCCAAACATGTTTTCTGTACTACATTCTACATCCACCTGGCACAATGACAGATTCAGGCAAACAAGAAGAAACATGGCCAGTCATGCCTCCACTGGGTCTCTGCCTCAGTCCCCAAGATTCACCCACTCTAACTTAGTATGAGCGCCTGTCATAGATGCCCACTAAACATATCTTTAGGACATAAGCCTTGACGTCAGTAAACAGGGGATAATTAGACTTCTAGTAACTCCAGGTTTCCACCCAAAAAGTGAATGCATGTTGTTGGTAATCTTGTAATATGCTTTGGCAACCTTCAAGTCCTTCATCCTCACTGAAGGAGTCGGGCCACTTTTCCCAAGCTAACCTGCAACATACAAGTTGGGCATTCAAACAGCTCCTTCACTTTTATACGAAACCAACCTCAACCCCTCCAAACAACCGAAGCCACTTCAGTCTGCTGGTCCTTGGGGACAGGGACATGTAAACAATCTAGTGAGCAAGGCTTCTTACAGAAAGGGAAAGCAACATGACCACAAAGAACTGCCAACTAGTGTATCTGGGACATAACTTCAGCGACAAACCCCCTGCTCCTAAGAGGGCTCTACCTGGTGAAGGAAGGTGGACTTTTTTTCCTATATATTTTTAAAGATGAGGCGACTGAGATTCAAAAAAGTAAATAATTGTAAAGTTTTAAAAACAGATCTCAGCAGAGGGCTTGCAACATAGTAGGCATTCAAAAATACTTATTTAATTAATTAGCTAATGAAATAAGACAATCAGAAGTTCTATCAGCCCTTGCCCTCTTCTTTGCATCTCCTCTTTTTGAAGGGCCCTAACCTCTAAATGTAGGATATGGACACAATGAAATTCTTTTTATCATGACTTTATCTGATTTCAAAAGAGATCCTACTTGTTTCTGAAAACCATCTGAAGTATGTTCAGATTCTATCCCAGAAAAGCCTTCCCCATTCCCAACTCTGCTGGTTACAGCCCAGTCCTAACCAGAGCCGCGCACAGGGCCTTTTTAAAATAAGGATCCTAAGTTTCTGGTAGGGATGCGTCCTTTGATGTTCATTTTCTTCCAGCTAAGCACCCAGCCAGCTACAAAGGCAACTTTGCTACATGTTTCTCCCACCTAATGAAAGTGGGCTTAACAGAGAACAGACTGCGAGTACCTGCCATCATTATTGCATTCAGAGAGAGAATCAGAGGCAGTACCTCGTAGGTGTATTCCTAAACTGGAGATTAAGGACAGGTCCCCAAGCTACTGAAATTATTAGGTTTGGCACTGATTCCAGTTTAGCCCCAGCCCCCGCACCACCAAGGCCCTCCACTTTTGAGGAGTGTCTCAAGAGAGATGGGAAACCTGAGTGTCACTCTTCACACTGAGTGTCTTGGTAAGATAGCTGCAAAGTCACCTCAATGCTACATGGTGGCTTTATATTTTTCAAGGAATACTCCCATTATGTTATCAGACCCTCACGACCCCCCCGTGAGGAGGGTGGAATGGGGATTAGTGGCATCCTCACTGTGTATATGGCAATCCTGAATCATTCAGCATCAGTCTGCAAGTCACCTGCAGTTAAACATGAGTCACTCACAGAGGCATTTCCAAATCCCAGCGTTGCCCCCACCTCTTCCTACTGAGACCACTCTTTCACTCACTGTCACTGATTCACTCCTCCAGGCCCCCTGTAAACTGAGAGATCAGTAAAATTTGCCTTTATTTCCCCACTTTTCTCTTTTCACTGTGCTCCCAGAAATGGTACGGAACTCACAGCAATGAGGCCAGTTCTGCAGCCCGCCACATGAGCTGTCTGGGGAGAGTGCCCTGTAATGCATTCGTGGATTAATTTGGGGCAGAATTATGTTCATAATGAGTGACTCGCTCGTATATACAGTGTGCTGTTTTTTAAGTCTTTTTATATGTCCTTTGATAGAATGTTTCATTTGTGTTTTATGCATTCATCTGATTAATTTTTATGTATGTTATGCTTTTGTTGATAGTGCAAATGACATTTTATATTCTATTATATCTTCAAGTACATTACTTCTAATATAGAGGGGTATTATATATTTTATGTCTATCTTTTTTCTGGAAATATAACTGGAATCTTATTGGTTGTTATAGTATGTTGGTTCAGATACTTTTTCTAAGAAAATGATGGTAATTTTGTGTTTTTCCTTTTGATGTGTGTGTGTGTGTGTGTATCTTTGTGTGTATGTGCTAATGTATCAATCTGGACCTCCCTAACTATGTAAACTGTAATGTTGATGGTGGGCATCCTTGTCTTATTTCCAATGTTAAAGGGAGTGAGTATAAAAGGAGGCAAATATTGGATGTTTGTTGTAGGTGTTTAGTATAAGACTTTTATCAAATTGAATACATTTCTATTTTTTCTAGTTTTCCAAGAGAGTCGTTATCATAAACAAGTATTGGATTTTATCAAATGTTTTTGCCTGCATTGTTAAAAATAATAATGTGATTTCTTTTTAAAAAAAATAACGTGGAAAAATACAGATTTTCTGATGTAATGTCTGCTTTTAAACATGCAAGTTAGGTATCAGGGGTCCTAGGACACCTGCGTCCAGCTAGGATGCTAGGATAGAGTTGTGTAAGCAGATCAGTGTTCCTGCTGAACAGCTAGAAAAGTTAGGAAAAAATACCAAGAAATAAATCAATTTAGGACTTGAGGAGCCAAAATCTCTGAGCAAAGAGAAGCAGACAGAGGTTAGCTGGCCACATTTCCACTAGGAGAAATAGCCAATTCTTGACACACATACCTGGCAGAGAACCACTGATAAAAAGCAGAGAAAACAGCAGAGGTTTTGGCAATCTCATGGGGCTGAGTGGATAAAAATTGAAGAAAGGTAGAAAGTAAATGGGTTGAAAAAGATAAACCAGGAAAATACCAACTAAGAGAAGGCTGATATCCCCTATATCAGATATCAACATCTACTATAAAGCTACAGTAATTAAGACAGACAGTGTAGTACCAGCACAAGGGTAGACAGACCAATGGAACAAAATAGAAAATCCAGAAGCTGACTCACATACAGTCACTTGGCTTATGACAAACATACCACTGTAGTGCAGGAGAAAAGTATTGATGTTTTAACAAATTGTACTGGATCAATTGTATATACATACGGAAAAAAGTGAATCCTAAACCCTACCTCATACTACATGCAAAAAAAAAAAATCAGATTGATTGTAGAACTAGATATGAATCATGAAACAATGCTCTTAGAACAGGAGAATATTTTCATAACCTTGAAAGAGACAAAGCTTTTCTAAACAGGACATTTATTTAAGGCTTCTTTAATTTCTTTCAAAATATTTTGTAACTTGCAGAGTATACATTTTGCATTTCATGTGTTAAATTTACAATTATTTTTTGATGCCACTGCAATAAATTGTATATTTCATTTCTGGAGGGTTCATTACTGGAGTATGAAAATACAATTGCCTTTTCATACGTATCTTATACTCTGCAAGCTTGCTGAACTCATTTATGGGTTCCAACAATTTTTTAGTGGATTCCTTAGGATTTTATATATATAGGATTATGTTGGCTGCTAATAGAGATAGTTTTACTTTTTCCTTTCCAATCTGGATGTCTTTTCACTTTCTTGAATAATTGTCCAGTCTAGAATTCAACAACACTAAGTAGAAGTGATCAGAGTGGACATCCTCATTTTGTTTCCGAATTTAGGGAGAAAGCATCTAGTCTTTCACCATTAATTATGATATTGCCTATGGATTTTTAATAAATGACTTCTATCAGATTGAGGAAGTTCCTTCTCTTCCTAGATTATTGAATATTTTGTGAAATTGTGCTTGTCAAACACTTTTCCTGAAATTATTAAGATAACTATGTGGTTTGTCCTT